ATTTTTCTTCTTAAAAATTATATCAACCTGTTTGCTTTAGTTCTTTTGCTTTTGTTATTGAAATTAATAATAAATCGTATGAAGGAATTCTTGGAAACGTATTCCCGATGGAAGAGATTGCGTTGGGGTGCCTAAACGATGTCATTACAGTGCTAAGGACGAATTCTAGAATTGCACGAGAGTTTCAGAATATTAATTTATTAGTTCATTTATTTCTTTGTTTGCTTCTTAACTCAAGCTTGCAACTTGGTCCGTGACGTATTTTAACTTTTCTTATGCAAAATGCACTGCCTGTCGTTGAAGTTCCTTCGTTTGTTGTACTACACTGTATAACAAACTCTCCGTAAGAGCACAAAGCGAGCTGCGAATATTTAAGTTTCGTAGAAAGAAAAGCGGTACCATGGTCGTTAAGGATCATAAAGCAGAAATTGTTTCATTATGAAGGAACGAAACAACGAATGTTCGTTTTGATCGACGTAGTAGCGGATAATAAAAGATAATAATATCAGTGAATCTGAATGTGAAGCGAGCATCATACCATGTTTTCTCAAACGCCATGATACGATTAAACAGAATTCAGTATCCAACGGAATTCGGGAAATATAATATAAAAGACACGTCGTGTTAAACATAATTTTAAACAGAATTAAATTCCGTTATTATTTTCTGTGATTATTCATAAATTGTTTAAGAAGCACAACATATTCTTATATTAAATATAAATATATATATATAAATATACATAGAAGAATATAAACATATAAATACCTATATATATAATAAATATAATAATTTATATATAAATTAAATATATATTCCCTCTTCGATTGCACCACCGATACTCATGTATTTATGGTCTATTTACATAAACCATAGCTAAGTGGATGAATAAAATGAAGCTTCGAATAAAAAAATGTTATTCTTTTTTCTATTTTATACAGAATTAAATCCCGTTGTTATTTTCTGCTATTATTGATCAAATTTTTAATATAGTCAATAATAGTTATTAACAATTATTATTAATAATAATTGAATAATAATTATTAATAATAATATTTTATATATGGGTATCTATATGTTTATATTTTTCTATGTATTATTCAATTGTGCATAGAATTATTTGTATACCCCCTTCTCGATTGTACCCTTCTCGATGGTCTATTCACATAAGCCATAGCTAAATGGATGGATAAAACGAAGCTTCAAATCAAAAAATTTTATTCCTCTTTTATAATTAATTTTTGCATGCAAAATCAGCCTCTTCTCGGTTGTACTGTCGTTGCTGGGACACCTTGTATATTTATATATTCATTATCATAGTCCTCTGGTTATCTCTTATGGTTACCACATAACCTACTAATTTCATTAACCTGCATTTACCTAGATGATAAAAGGAAATGAAGCTCGAGCAAATTCGAACTCCTCTTCTCGTCAATTTACTGATCAGCAAACCTAACCCAATCTCGCAGACCAAATTACGATAAACGTGGTACCATTGAACACTGCCAAAATTAAGGTTGCCAAAGATCTGAGATATCAGCCTCGATTAAAGAGGTCGACGTTACAAGGCATTCATCAGCCCCATTAGGCTACTTTTTCCACTGGTCGCGAGCATCGATCGAAGGAGTTGCCACTGATAAAAAGCCAAAGGTCGATCTCCGTCACGTGTTCGATCATCGACACCTACGCTATCCCTGACGCGGCTATCGTCTTGATCCCAGATATCAGAGAGATCGTCAGACCAATCACTCGGCCATGTACTCCACGTCATCCCTGACTTGGCTATCGTCCTGATCCCAGATACCAGAGAGATCCTCAGACCAATCACTGGTCCATGTACACTGCGTTACATGCTCGGGATCATGAAAGTTAGACTGTAAGCTCTTGGTATTTGGGATGGAATATTGATATGGTATGGTCAAGGCAAGTTGCTTTCAAGTTTGAACCCTATTTGATGTCAGTGACTCGTTGTTTGACACCCAATGATGCGTCACTTGAGGGACCACCTGAACTGATGTCTAGGATTAAACTTTGACAGGATGTGGAAAAATCCTGTAGATAATAAACTTAGCTAAACCAAGTCAGATCCATTACCTAATAAATTATCCTCAAGAATCCACTTGGCTTTAAAAATGACTAAGGTCTCCACCTACAAACGTGTCATACTATGTCAGATCAAACCAAAACTCACAAATCACGTCACCTAATCAAAGATCCTGAAGAATCCACTTTCTCTGTCAAGAAAATCACTCAGATCCTTAACTACAAACGTGTACTTGCCATTAGACCCAACGCTCTCGTTGGCTCAAGGCGTTCTCATTGTGGTTCCAGATACCAAAGAGATCAACGGGATCCATCCATCGTGTAGCAGAGAGGAAGAAGCCAGAGTTGTGGCGAAGAAACCGGAAGAACTGTCACAGCTCGACGAAAGGATACGATCTTTGGAACAGGTAGTTGCTCAGTTCAAAGAGAGAGACGTCAGCGAGCATACTGTCAACGAGAAATGGGAACAGGATCGGTTACAAGCGAAACAAAGGGCCTCTATTTGTACCCTGTATTAATTCGAAAAATATTACTGCCGCAAGAGGAACGAGCAATACGGATAAAGCGGACCAAAGGCTTTTCAATATTTTTCTAAATAGAACAGCGCGTTGACGCGGATGAAAGGGACTAAGCTAATCCTGCACACAGGTGAGCGGAAAGCGAGGAATGTAGTATGGAAAAAGGTTTAGATAGCGCTGTATGCAACTGCGCGATACGGTTGGCAGATTGATGGTACAGGAAAGCAATGGGAATAAAGGAAATATAACGAAGCTGGTGTAAAAAGGATTCCAGAGGGTAAATTGCAAGAAGAAACGGGGTGGAATATCGCGAAACCGTGAAAGGGAAGCGAAGAAAGTCTTGGCAGACTGTTAGCCGGTTAGGTCTTCTGCTTTTTATTGCATCCTTTGTGACGAATCAGGTTTCGATTCTTGTAAAACATTTTCCAACCTTTCTGTTCTAGCATTCCCTGAGAACCTTCTAGGCAGCCTTTCAGACATATTTAGTCAAGTACGTTTGACACAATTTAGCTAGTTGACAGCTTATCGACTGCGTTCTTATTGTATTATTATTTCAAGTCCTTCGTAAGAAGATTTAATTCCTCGTATAAATTACTCTCAGAATATCGGTGTTGGAAGTTCACCTCTGTCTTCGAACTTCCCCCTCGTTAAAGATCGTTGCAGACTTCGGAACAGGTGGTTATTAACTGGGGGCGGCATTGGAGTACGTTGAATGAGCCATAACTTGCCAGTTAAAATCTCAAACTTCTTGCAGCGTTGTTCCAGCCGGGAGACCTGTCATTATCCCTAAATCTATCAACGGCACGAATTCTCGAAAACTTCGTAACGAGCTTAACTGGCTATCCGATGTACCATCGAATTTCCAATTACACCTTTCCCAAATGTACAAATGAATCTGCTCCCAAACGAAACTAAACACCTGGACCTAACCTAAAATCGAGACCAGCAGACACGAGGTGACCGAGGAGAGGACAGACTCACCGGGGAAAGAGCGAAAGTGGGGAAACGCGAGTTCGCAGAGCGGGAAAGAAGAGCAACGGCCACGAACGATAGCAGAGCAACCGGACAAGAATCAAACGGTGGAAAAAGGAAAAAGGAGAGGGGGAAAACAAAGGAACGGAAAGAGAGATCGCGGTGAAAGGGGTAAAAGCGTGACGAGGCAGGTGAAACAGGGTGCAGCGCCGGTTATGGGAGTGAGTTGAACGCAGGCGGAGGATAGATAAGGACGAGCAGAACGCGCTGGTAGAGGAGCAGAGAGAGGATAATGGTGGCGCATGCTCCTCCTCGTTGTGCACGTATCGTAGACCAGGCAGTTGCCCTCGTCGGCTCCAGGTACACGCGAAAATCCATAACGCCGCTGTGTACCGTCTCCTACGGCCGTTGACAGACTCTGCTGACAGGCCAGAACCTCTCGACCAGCCGCCGCGGCGACCGTCGCCACGCAGCTTCCTCGAGTCCTACGCGCCGATCCTCCGGAGCTGCCTCTTACGGCTTCGAGCACGTGTCTCTGTCAGTCGCGTGACACTGCTCGCCGGCTAACTACGCAAGCATCCTCCCAAGACGTTCTTCGTTCCTTTTCAAGAGCATCACTACCAATTTTACCTTCGATATTACCTGTTTCGAATGGTACTGAGGTAGAGAGAGAGAGAGTTGATAGCGAATTGGAAAAAAGAAGAAAGAAGAAACAAGAATTGAAACCACAGGAAGAACCAGAGGACACCTATGGTACTCCATCGGGAGCAATAAATGTATAAACTTCGAGTGCTGTCAAGAAGAAGAAATCAGAAGCACGAGAAACCTTAGGGCCCTGTGAGGATTCCAGACAAACATCAGCGAAAGTTTCCCGAGAAGATACATCTCTACGTGCAATTTGTACACTTCGCATCAACGAGAATGTACCTCGAGAGGATCTATGACGACGTCTTGAAAGAGGTATCTAGCCTGAAAGATTCTCGTCGAAGAAGAGATTAAACGACCAGAGTTGCTGACAGATTGACACACGGATGAATTAGAGAACGAGTTCCGTGGAAGTTTTGAAACTCATTTGCGAAGCTATCGACTATTGATTATAAGGGACTCTGAACTAGCTTGCGTCTTCGAAGGAGGCGGTAATAAGCCCTGGTGTCGACGAACCGTTCTCTCTCCGGAGTTGAAATCGGGGACGAATACGCGCGTGAACCGAGAGAGCCTCTTCAGAGGTCCTTCTAGAGTTCCCACTGAGAGTTTCTTGATAGTCTTGGCGAAACTGACACGGTATCGAATCGTTGGTCGATCGAAGTGTCGACGAGGCCCTTTGTTCTTGGCTCTGGGTGCGATCCACGAAATGTTAACACGCGAACAATAGGCGAACTTGGTCTTCGACTGCTGGTCCTCGGTCTGACGAACGTAGTTCGGTAATTGGCTCAGCTTTTCAAGCAGAACGTCGAATAGCTGCTAGTCTCGAGCTGGAATGCTGGTTATTTCACGAACGAAGATAGCAGAGGGCATTAATAAAGAGCGTGGAAACGCAGCTAGAGGCTGAAAGCTTCCCCAGAGCGTAAGTCAATCTCATTCCGTCGTGTTCCTCGAAATTACACAACCGGTTCTTCCCTTGCTGAGGGACTCTGTTCAACGAGAAGCTGCCCAGACTGAAGAGCTCTGGTGAAATCTTGCTGCCGGATAAGGGGACCTCAAAGAGCTACCCTACGCTCTGTCGTGCTATCTGCTGCTCAGAGGATAGAATTCGATGAACCCCGGATCTATGTGACCCGTATCGCGGAGAACCCAGGAAACTTTATTCGATCGAGATGTAAATAGATATCGGATGAAAGCTCCTCGTCAAGGCCTCGTGTCACGTATCAACGAGAATTGACAGGATAACCTGCGGCAGATCTTGGGGGTAAAAGACTCGTGCGTCAGGATTAGACATTCTTTAGGATCCACTTGCCGTTGCGTCTGCCCCGTACAACTGGACCAGAGCAGAAAAGGGGTCCTCGAGGATTAACCGACCCTCCTTTAATAGCAAAGGATCTTCGTAGGATCAGCGGCATTAGTCGGCGAATCTTGTGGTCGTTCAAAGATATCTCCAGTCTCGTTCCCAGGGGAGGAGGCATCATACGGTGAAATAATAGCGTGTCGGTGAAAAATAGAGTCTCACAGACTAAGCGTCTTTATAGGAGCACGCGGGCAGAATACTTCATCTGGCATTGACAACCTACTGCGTGTCAGAGATTCCGTGCCCTCCTCGTCGTTCCTGATCGAGTCTGTCGACGTCTGAAGCGTCGTAATATCAAAACGATGTCAAAACGTGTCACCGCGAGAGCGCTCTAGAATAGCGATTGAACTTAACCCGGTGATCTGAAGCTTGGCAAGAGAAATTTGACGGTTCCACGAGCCTCTCCAGGTGCAGAGGCAACGAGAGGTCGATGTTATTTTAATCTTCCCTACGATTCGATCGAATCGATCAACGAGTCCGACTTAGATAAGGAGCCAAGTTGCTTTCGCGATCAAGGGGTGAGCAATGGCCTGGCAACTGGCTAACGAGACCATCTTCGACACCGGCAATTACGTGCTGAACGCTCTGTACTATATCAACAAGTTAAACAAATCGGTGAACCCAGAGGCGATCAAGTGTCTGGAACGCAAACACCAGGAGGAGCTGCAGCAGTTGTCTCTGGAGACACAGCAGACGGATCAACAGGGATGTGAGATCAGCTGGGATTCTTTATTGTGCTGGCCAAAGACACCGCCTGCAACCCTGGCCACTCTGCCATGCTTCGAAGAGCTGAATGGAATACGCTATGACAGCACACGTAAGTGACATGTCTTATTTGGCATTACCATCGCTTTTTGCAGGCTTGCGAATAGGGGTTCCCGCGTGCAGCGGAATGCTTAATGGAGGTTAATGGTTCACCCTAAGACCACGTTTTCACGTGGTTCCTTGCACGCTATCGTACAAACGGGATCTCGAATTAATTATTTTTTAAATAATTAATAATAAGCAAAGACACTGCTGTTCGTGGGAAATATTTTGGATAGGATTTTGGAGCTTTTTTTGTAGCCTTTAGAGTCATTATATAGGGGGTTTATATCGCGAATTAATTTCCTTAATTGCATTTTATCCCACCAATTTTCAGATTACCTTCGAATCGTAGCGATTTTTCAAAATTTTATTTAAGTACAAGCTGCATCGCGGATTAAATAGGAAAATTGAATTCGATAAAAATTCTGCTCGGATAGCAGCCCCTAATGATTCGTCTGCCTGCGATGTGCCATATCGGAGGAAAGTTGTTTCAATTACTTTAATGGCCACGGAAGGGCGCAGGACGAATTAAAAATACGGTTTATTCGGTGACAAAAAAATTTCGAAAATGAAACGGGGGTATAATACTGACTGTGTAATTAGTCGTAACCCGGAAGTTACGCGTTTCGTCGAACCTGGTAATGTGATTGAAGATCCACTGTTCTCCTCCATTTTGTTTTCCACTGAAAGCAAAGGATTCTCGAAACGATACGACCAGGATTCTGCTTCGAATTATTGTTTAATTAGGATTAGGTCTGCTCTTCAGGAGCTGCACAGTGATTCGATTTCTCAGAGCTCGGAAGGTTAAAATAAGAAAGGATTGGCTGGAAGGGATTCGGGTCAGCGGTTTAAAGGGGAAGAGTTCGAGACCTTGCAATAAATCCTCATCCCTGAATTTTCGTCAATCCCTGAATATTTGACATAAGATTTTTAGCCACGAGAGTTGCCTCTCTGACATATCGACGTGACATCGATATATTTTTGGAATTTCATACGCGTGATATTTCTTAATTCCTGTTCTATGGAAACACTATGTTGCACTTTCATTTTGTTTTATATTATCTATCTTTATTTCCTATTTTGGAAATTCAATTCTTTTCTAGTAGAGTTATTTATTTATTTACATTTACACCGTGAATGATGTTTATATGTTAGAAAGTAAATAGGTAAAAGGATGGAAGAGAATATCAAATATGACAGGTTCGAAAATTACAGGTGTTTCTGAAAGTATAGTGATTTATTGAAACGCCATTTGAAGATGGAAAAAGGAGAAAAGAAATCTGCTATAAAGTGTAACAAAATTTCAAGATTTAATCTACAGATTGGTTCTGATTCAAAATTCTATATTATATTTTGCACGATCAGTTATTATTGTATTATATATACAACAAAGTTTTGTTAATAATATTTTTATTCTTCGAGATGAAAAAGAATCATAAACTAATATTTTCCTCTCATATTTGGCACCCTAACTTCGGTCTTCATTAATACTGAGTGTAACAACATTTGATTCTCATAGTTTCTGCTTTACCTCACTATTTAAGCTACAAATGAATACCAAAATTCTGTACAGTATTTTGTTAATAATATTTTATCCTTCAAGATCAAAAAGAATAACGAATTCTCCTCTCATAATAATTAGCACTAAAATTTTGATTTCTGTCGTTCCTGATAATTAACCAATTAGTACATCAAATAACAAATACTAAAATTCTGTACTGTACATGATCAGTATCATTTATCATTATCCAATGTCATTATCCTATACATACAACAAAATTTTATTAATAATATTTTATCCTCCAAGATCAAAGAGAATCACGAACTAACATTCTCCCCTTATAATAATTAGTACTAAAATTTTGATCTCTGTCGTTCCTGATAATTAAGCAATTAGTACATCAAATAACAAATACTAAAATTCTGTACTGTACATGACCAGTGATCATCCTATTATACATACAACAAAATTTTGTTAACAATATTTTATCCTCCAAGATCAAAGAGAATCACTAACTAACATTCTCCTCCGATAATAATTAGCATTGAAATTTTGATTTATGTCGTTCCTGGTAATTAATCAATTAGTATATCAAGTAACAAATACTAAAATTCTGTACTGTACATGACCAGTCACCATTCTATTATATATAAAACAAAATCTTATTAATAGTATTTTATCCTCCAAGATCAAAAAGAATAATAATAATAACTAATATTCCCCTCTCATAGTAATTGGCGCTAAAATTTTGACCCCTGTCGTTCCTGATAATTCACCAATTAGTACATCGAATAATTAGTACATCGAATAACAAATTTATATTTCACCTTTACCTTTTTATCTCGCGTTGTTACCAGAAATTATAAATTCCCCATTATACGTCCATCCTTATTATTTCCCCCGGCTTATGCCTTCCACGTATCCCGCAACAAAATCTTATTACCGTGATGCTTTTGTTCCCCGATTACTTTCGTCTCTCAAGGATTTAAGCTCGTCCGGAAAAGAACAATTGCATGCAAATCCTCGTGGAGATCGTCGCGAGGTACAGCGTGCTTTCGCAGAACCACGCCATTTGCATGATCTTTACAATTGCACAGCTGGAATTGCTGTTCGTGTGAACGTTTTGGTCCAAGGGTCGTATCCTGGACGAAGCTCGCGTTTTAAAGCGGCCATCAGCGTCGCCGGAAGTCGAGGGCTTTGTGGCGAACGCCATTAAAATTCGAACGCCATCAAGTTCGATTAAATCGTCGAACAACACCGATATTCGTCTCATTATTATTATTATTATTATTATTATTATTATTATTATTATTATTATTCTCATTATTATTCTTTCATTTTAAAAATTTTTAACGAGTCGAAGAAAGAACGGCTTCTTTCATCGCGAGATACTAGTCGTTGCACGGTTTATCCTGCACGAAATCATGCGATTTTATATGCTCACCGTGGCGTGAAATTGAAAAACACACGATCACGACGGGTTCGCGAACACTTTCGATGAATATCGACACTCGGTAAATAAATGTCGTTCGCATATAAATGACGGGGAAAAAGAAATGACGAATCGATTCGTAGTGTACCAGAGTGCGGAAGGATATTTCAGTGGGATCGAGATTTAAAATTGAAATCTTGGCGATAACGCGATGCCGATATTTAGAATTTGTTTTTTAAAAAACGGGACGCGTTTTATTTCGTTTCGTTGATTTTTAGCAGAGATTGGCGAATTTCTGGTTTCTACGATTATCGAAGATGTGTGTACACGTGTGCGAGTGATTGGGAAAGTAGTATAAGTCGCGTATTTCTCGTCCT